CATTTTCAATGATTCTGACTAGTACCTCGTAATGACGCAAGATCGTACTTACGCACAAACGCAATATATACATGTATATATATACATAGAGAGAGAGGGAGCTAACATCGCTGCAGCTGGTAAGAAAGCAAACAGTATTAGAATCTACTTATCCTCACGAAGAACGAACACGCCTTAACCAGCGTACTAAAGCGTCGAGGAAAAACCAATAGAGCACCCATCTAATTTTGCAAGAATTTGCAAGTTTTTTTCACGATGAAAAGCCAGTCTATTCTAGCTTAACGCACGCAACCCAGTACGCACAACGCTGGTGGACACTTGTCGCCTTGTCCCGGACACTCGTCGCGCTTCGCAACGGACACGCACACCACAGAAATTGCACGTCACTTGGTTCCAGGATATCCGCCGCATTCGGGCGGGAATAGATTCATTCTCCATTATGCCCAACGGAATCTTCTTTTAAAAGCCGAATGTTGTACCAAGGCCTAATGTTGTACCAAGACCGAATATTGTACCAAAACTGAATCAGTTTTATGTAGTAATTCGGTGTCCTTACAGGACAACTATTAGGCTAAAACATTGGTAAAGTTGAGCTCTTCTCATTTTCGAAGAACACTACAGTTCTTGGAAATGTACTATAAATAAGTCCAAATTGTGACCCATTTAAGGTTTATCTTGTTATTTGTATTCGTTCGCAAATAGTCTGGGTGCGCAATTAGTCTGGATGTTTCGAGTCCAGATTTCGACTTAATTATTTTTTTGAGTGGTGATTGTTTGCCTGCCCACGGTGACTCGCCCAAGTCAAAACAGCACAACAAGTCAAAGTAGCACAATTAGCATTATTATAAGCTTCACTTTTCAACTCTGAAGCAGTTGAGAGCATTCAAAACGCTTCTATGCGACCTTCTATTTTGGCTCGACTTTGAAGTCTACTAACCAAACGAATATGTAACATCATAGGTTTTGCAACGCCCGGGCCGTTATGGTGACCCGGGTCACCTCCAACCTGTTCATATGGGTAACATCCTACTGCCATTGTGCAACTCCTCTCCAGTTGCGAATGCTGCTATGTCATTCGGTAACCAGCCGTGTGAAAAGGGAAAGCGGAGACTGAAATCAAACCAAAATCGAAGCGCAAGCGGAGTAAACAAAGACAGTAAGTAGAGCAACTAGCGATGATCACAACTTCTTGTTCTAATCAGAAATTGATAATAATATTTTCGTGATAGTTTAACTTAATTAGCAATCGTTTTTGTGATGCATGGGATGGCGATCAATTGATAGATTCTTG